TGAACGGGGTATAAGGAAACTAAAATATTTTGGAAACTTCACAAGCCCAAAGAACTTTAAAGAAATTTAATGGTTTTCAGGATAGCTCCATTTGTTTCAGGATAATTGAGATAAGGGAAGCTTTGAGAACATCAGGACATATAAATATAAGGAAATTCCTGAACCGTTAAATGAGTTCCGAGAAACTCAGGCAATTTCCGAAAACTTCAGTTAAGTTCCGAGAGGATCATGAAAATTTTAAGTTACGAGAACTTTAAAAAAATTAAAAAATCGGGAAGTTCAGAGAACCCAGAAATCTATTTCTTCCAGATATTTTCCCATCGTCTCCTTGAAGTATCTTTCGACTGTTCCGTAAGCCTTGTGGCGTCCGACTTTTTCCAGAAGTTTCTTCCAATCTACCGTAGGAAGCTTCTTCCAGTGTCTTCTGGAAGTTTCTTCCGTCTTCTCCAGGAAGTTCAATTAAAGTTCTACCGGATGTATCTATCGAGTTCCCCCAGAAGTTTCTTTCGTCTTCCTGTGGGAGTTCCTCCATAAGTCACACTCTGTAGGGTTTTTTTTCTAGATCGAAGTGTGCCTTGCTTCTACACGGACGTGAAAATTTTAGGGTTTTTTCGTCGCGTTTTTTCTAGAGAAGTTCGCGAGTGCAGACTTTCATGGCCGAGCTAAGGATAATTCGAGGTCGGTATCATCGATACTGCAGGTGTACTTTTACTTTTGAGCGTCTTCACTATTCTAGGTGAAGCAGTGTTGTGAAATTAGGATTTTTTTTCAAGCAATCAAGAAGTGATCGCAATGGGCCAGCACGTGTCCAGGACGGATTTCGAGTGGTGTTACACCGAGGAACCGCACGCCAGTCGAAGGAAGATTATCCTGCAAAAGTATCCGCAGATCAAGAAGTTTTTCGGTTATGATCCGCGGTTCAAGTTTGTGGCTGGTGCCATGGTGCTAACACAGTTTGCGATGTTGTTCATAATGAAGGACCAATCGTGGAAGATGATTTTCCTGGTGGCATATTTCTTTGGAGGGGTGATTAATCATTCGCTAGAGCTCGCCTGTCACGAGATTGCTCACAATCTGGTTTGGGTTGCAAGGCCGATGGCAAACCGGCTGTTTGGATTTTTCTGCAACCTCCCGATCGGAGGAGCGGATGCATCCAACGAAACTTTTAGGTGCAAAAGAATCATTACCAACATAGGAAAAAATTCGGTAAGATCCTTCCATTGCCTTATTTTATGATTCTTCAATATTGTACACATATTTACACATTACACACAACTACACATAGTAACTCGGAGCGTTTGGTACGGTATGTCCACGCATCCTTCCATCCCTGTAGATTCAAGAAATGTTCCAAGAATCATCTTTGCGGCAAATACAACGCAGTAGGCCTGGCCGTATTGATGTTTATATCATATCTCAGATATGCTGTAAACATCAATTAGACAAGAAAAATGATTAGACCTCATCTAACCTAATCATTTTCCAGGATGCTTTCTCGTACTGGCTGCGTTTGTTAGATTAGAAGTCACACTCCGTAGGTTTTTTTTTCAACTTATTGTAAGGTTTTTCCGAGCTTATCCTAACTTCCCCTCGAAATGGCTTCTCCGGGATTAACTTACGATTTCCAAAATTTTCTGGCCTCTGGATTTTTTCCGAAAGTTTCTAAGAAATGTTGCCAGAAGTTTCTCAATATTTGTCTTGTAAGAACCCCATCGGATGTTTTTTCGACATCTTTTAGAACTTCCTTGAAACTTTCTACACGAGATCTTCTTTATTATTCCTCTGGCAGTTTTGTCGGTACCATTAAGAGACTAATTCAAATATTTACCAAAAATTTATTTCAACTTAAATGGAAAGTACATCCTTTGATTATAGTCCAAAAGTTTGAAAATAGTGAATACCGATTGATACCGACTTTTTTATCATTTAATACCGATAATCATGAAAACAATCTGGCAACGCTGACCCAGCGGTTGATCCGGGAAGCGCGAACCGTCAAACGGGATGACGGGACTGGGATGAAAAATAACAATAGCTTTTCACTTATCAACAATCAGCACTGTAACAGTATTTTGCTATTAAACTTTATACAAAGGCTAGGAATTAAAACTAACAAAGAACTCTGTTGTGAAATAGATGGGATAAATAGTACGGAGACTGAATTCTTTAAGATTCTGTTACGATAGATTGGGAGTTCTTCCAGCTGATTACCACCCAACCGTGGGTTAGTGATTACTGCTGGAAGAACTCCCAATCTATCGCAACAATTAGTGATCGAAAAATATAGGGAAAATGAATGTAATGTCGGCCTAAATGCCCCTAATTTGGGCCCAAACATAAATTCAGCAATCTACTAAATGTTCATAGGGACATTTCCAAAAATATCCATTAGTACGCGTTCATCTAGATAAAATTGATAAATAGCAAATTTTTAGCGATGGGCCCAATCTTAGATCTATAGGCCAACATTAGAGCCATTTCCTCTATCAAAATAATGTTGAAACAGGTCTCAACTGCGCGGCAGTCCCCTTAGATGAGTAAGACATAAGCTTTGAGTGGCTGGTTTTAAACAACACCACTTAGGAACCGGAGGGTTATGATTCTTGGTTAGATCAAGAACGGAAGTTCAAATTTGAGTGAAATGTTTCTGATATGGAGTGGGATTTCGTTTGCACATTATGTTCACAATATGTATAGATAGACTTAGGGTTTCACAGTGGGTTCAAAGTGGAAAAAATCACAAACTTAATTGCTGTACAACATCATCAGATGTCAGAAAACAACTTGAAGTTCTTGAATTTCCACTTTTAGACGACAGTGGGCTTACAAATGATTCGTTTCAATAAATTTGTTTTTTTTTAAATGATAGAATGCGGAAAACGCAATTATGTTGTAGAAGCAACGGGCCGTAGCTTTGGAGTTCAACTATGGAAGAAAGTAATTTTGGATTATGAAAATATTATGAGACCTAGAAAGGTGATATATAAAAAATACGGCCTACATAATTCAGGGATGGCCATTTCGCAACGCTCTGCTCAAAAAAATGGCATGGTAAATTTTGTTTGATTACGAAGAATGGTTAATGCGGACAATTTTTAGTTCCCTGAACAATTCCGGGTTTTATATTCGAGGTGAATTGATATGTACGTTTTGTTTATTTACGTCTAATACTTAAAATAAATACAATGTCATTTAAGGTCCATTTGAAAAACTGTTAATTAATGTCCGCAAACTGAAATAAGTTTCAGCTAAATTCTCAACATGAAAATGTCAGATGGTGTCTAATGCTCTTTGATAAATTTTAAACAAATATAGTAACAGGTTTGATTTAAAACATTTAAATAGCGATTGTAGTTCACTGAACTTTTAATTATAAAAAAGTATAATCTTCTTCCTTTCAGGATATTGAATGTCTTATTTCATAAATTGCAATTATGAATTGGCGCATTGTTGATTGTAGAGTCGATTAAACGGATTATCAAAAATAGTCTCGCAGTTATACGTCAATAATGCAGTAGAATTTGTAAATCATGTCTCACGTGAGTATCACGATTGATGTTGAAAAAAATGATAAAATGTATAGTTTTATTAAAATAAGCGACATACAAAACGGTGTAAAGGCTGTCTTAAAACTGCTCAGGGCACGCCGAAGTGAAGTTGTACAGAAGAAGAATGAAGTATACCAAAACATTGCTTCACGTACAAGATGTCTGGATAAGTGACGGAATCAATGATGAAGTAAAGTTGCGGTGAAGAACTGAATGATTGGATGAAGTTTTAATTAGGGAAATGTGCATATAGGAATCGATTTCCTAGTATCTGTTTTTCTGACTCAATTAAGATGTCAATTACTCAATAAACAATTGCTAATTCCATGTGCCTTCCAAAATTGTGCTTCTGAATAGGCGAGAGAGGGTAAAAATCGATTATAAATGATCAATCAAAAACCCGCTAGATACCTACTGGTCTAGCGAAGTTTGGAATTATTCTAGATTCTGATTTTTCAAAGTCTTATTCTTAAAGTCCTTTCCGTTCAGCATTTCGTGTTCAAGTCCAGCAAATTTTCTTAACATTGAATACTTTCTAAGTTTCAGAAATGTTCAAGTCTGGGAAAGTTCCTTATAGTTCCTAACTGTCAGCTTCCGGAGCCGGGGAAATTTTCCAAAATTCAGCGTGTTTTCCTAGTTTAGAAAATTTTCTGCGCTCAAAAAGATTTCAGGGATTGAAAAATTTCTTATGTAGTTCGGCTAGCTCGTTTAATCTTTCAAATTGACGAAATTTTTAAAACCCTAAAACTTTTTGATCGTTGATTTCTTCCTTTTTTTTTTTGAAAGAATTCTTTCGAAATATGTTCAATTTCGTGAGTTCTGGAAACGTTTGAAGACCAAAATCTTGTACTTTTTGTTTAGTAATGTTCCAATCTTGAAAACTATAAAAGTCTATACCTAAGGATAGCATCCTCTTAAAATACGTCTTGATTAAAGATTTGCTGAATTGTAATAGAAGGACAACAACTTATCCATTTGACAGGTTTTCTGCACGATTGGAGTGCTTTGTTCCAAGACTTAAACAGATAATCGATTGTTCCAATATTAATCCATCTCTCCATTCCAATTCAGCATCTCTTGCCTTGAAGAGTTTGCACTAAGAACTTAGTGTGATATGCGTGGTACAGACGAAGGGTTAAACTTGAACAATTTTACAAAGTTTGGACATTCCAGGCTAACACTCTAAATCGGCTTACGTGCCAAACGGTTCGACATTAACAGTCATCATTGGTTACGTTTGGCACACAGACCCATTTCAGCACGTCAGCCCAGATTTGAAATCCTTCCAATAAACCGAAGACTCCGCAGAGATTGTTTTGGTCTTGAAAGTTTGCTCGAAAGACTTATTGTGGGGTTCTTGCGAAATCCGTGAGCACGAGGCCACTTCAGTTGTCTTCTAGACCTTCTTCGGTCCGGTAATCAGCAAGTCAGAAAATCAAAAGGTCTACTCACATTTCCCTCGGGTACCATTTGACGAACACCTCCGCTCCGGTACCTGTGACACGCCGTCCTGCGGCCTGTCCACGGAACGTCACCGTACCCCGGCGAGCGCTGGCCACACTGCCGGCCATAATCAGTCTATGCTGCAGACCCTCCATCACTCCGATATCGAAAAAGTCAAACCGGCGGGCTGTTGTGACGGGGAAAAGTTAGGTTAGGGCACTCAAATGCTGAATAATGAACCACATCAAAAACACCTACCTGACCACGGTTGACGTCGATATCGTAGCTTTTTACCAGTCTTGCGTAATACCTTGGGCAGTGGCGGATCCGACGATCGCTTGCCCGCAATGATGTTGTCCGTATTGTTGAAATGATTATTCACGTGCTTCTCCAGTGCCAACTGTAATTAGAAATTTCCAAAGTAAATAACCGAAACCGAAAAGCAAAATCACTGCAGGCGATCTTACCTGCGATCCGAATCGCATGCCACAACCGGCTACGATGCACTTGTGCGGTTTGGTTCCACCGTGCGATAGCACGTGCCGCTCCAACCACCTTCGGCTGCATGACTCCTTGTTGTGCACCTTGCAACCATCCCAGAGGCAAGCGAACGGTCCCGTCTGGCTGTTGACGTGCTGGATCTGCAAATGGTCCAACAGCTTCGAGCTGCTATCGAACTGAACGTCACAGTTGCTCCAGTAGCACACCCCGAACAGGCGGCCATCCGAAAGCCGCCGGAAGCCCTTGCGGCCAAAGTTGTGGTGGACTCCGTTCATGGCCGGGAAGCGAATTGTTTTCGGCTGCGACAGGATGGGACTCTTGGCGCACTCCATCATTGGTGGTACGTTGAGGAAATCCGTATCGATGCTCGGCGGCGACAGGTCTGCCGGCGTGGTGGAGCGGTGAGATTCCGATGGTTCGGCCGATCCAGTTTGGCCGGATTCATCCGATGGGCTTTGGTTGCTGTAGTCCTGATCGGAGGACATGGATTCCTGAAGTTGGTCATCCGGTTGCTCCGGCAGTTTGAGCTTGATTTGCTCCAGGAGCAGGCTCTTCGGAGATTTTTGGCAGGGAGGTAGACTGGACGAGTCCAAAAATTCGGTTTCGATTGTCGGAGGTGGTAGTAGTAGACACAGTGGTGGTGGGGATGGTTGCGGCTCTTCTGGGTCTGAGAAGTCTGCAAATGATTCATCGATTTTTGGTTCTTCGGGTTCCGGCTCCGGGTCGGCCACAACGGTTGGTGGTTCTGGAGAAGGTGAAAGTGGGGACGGTGGTGGAGTTGATTCTTCGCGGGATTCATCATCCTTTTTCTGTAGAGATGAATCTGGGGATCCCGGTGAGCAGAGATCGATGGTGAGAGACTTGTCCTCGGTGTCGCTGGAGTTGGCGACGATGCCGCTGTCGTTGCTGATGCTGCCACAGTCCAAAGTTAGGGGGTTAAGGGCCGGTGGTGACTTGTTGTCGATGGCCCTCGGAGAAGTGACGGGCGATTGAACGGTCATTAACGGAGGCGTCATTGCCGGTGCTGGCGGGGTACAGGAAGCCAGAGCCAAGGCTGGCGGCTGCGACAGGGTTAGATTTGGTTTCGGAATCTCCTTGATGGGAGTCATGGATGTTGCTTTGGTTGCTACCGATGCCGATAGGACAAGTTTGGGAACTGGGGCCGATTGTTGGACCAGTTTCGGTGGATTCGAGATAACCGGGGTGATTGAGATCGAGGGTTTGTTCAGCTGCACCGGGACCAGCTTGGGCGGCTCGCTGCTGGAGATCGGTTTGATCGCCGGAGGTGGTTTGGTGGAGGTGCTGCTGGTCGTCGAGGCGATGATGATTTTTTGGTTGTTCAAGGTGTTCATGATGGGTTTGGCGGTGGTGCAGAAGGTTGGAACGGTGGCAACGAGGGGAGGTGGCGATAGTGGTTGCGCCATGGTTGTGCATCCGGAGGGAATCGTCGACGTTGAGATCGTAATTGGAGATGTGAACGACGATGTAGATGAACTGCTGGTAAAGGAGGTTGGGGTTTGTTGGTTTAGGAACAGGTTTGAGGGAATAGGAACGAATTGTGGAGTCTGACCGAGCTTGGCGGTTGTTTGCAGGTTTTGAAGAACCGCCTGTGGGATGTTCGCCAGTAGTTGATGGAAGTTTGGCAGAACTTGCTGGGATTGCTGATGCTGTTGTTGTTGTTGGTGGTGGTGGTGGTGGTGATGGTGGATGTTGTTCTGCTGCTGCTGCTGCTGGATGATGGCAGTGATATTTGGTAACTGTGTTGATTGAGGTTGACTGGGTTGAAGCGGATGCAGCGCAGGGATGTTGGCCTGAGCGGCTTGAGCCAGCGCCTGTTGCAGACTAGCGGCGGTTAGACCGGAGGCCAGCATGGTTGGTAGAGCGGCTGCGTTGAGGAGGATTTGTCCACCTGGGGTCATGTATAGCGGCTGTGAAGTGAAGGTCGTTGCAGAAGAGGCATTTGCCTGTTGGTATAGCTGAGTTGGTTGCTGAGCATGGAGGGCATAGGTCTTGGCCTGATGTGAGGGTTGGTTGGTGCTGATGGGGCTGCTAGCAGTGGAAAGTGCCGGTGACTTTGCGAGAAGACCGTTGAGACCCATACTGACGGTTGCCGTTTCCATGGTCAAGTTCTGCTGTGAAGTTGGGATGTGCTGGCCGGTGGAGGTTAACGCCTGTTGTTGTTGCTGTTGTATTTGGTGCAGCTTGATGACGGCCCCGTTCATGAAGAGTTGCGTAGTTCCATTGTTAAGTCGGGCGGCAGTCAGTCCATGCGTGGTGCTATTCATCATGATGTTGGCAGTGGTAGGACTGCTGGTGGTTGAAGAAACAGCTACAGGCACGTTCAGCTTGGCAGCTGCTGATGAAACCGGTTGAGTTGGTACGAGATTTGGTATCTGGACCAGATTTGGCATGACGGATGTCGTTTGTGGATGAAATTGGAAAACGGCCGAGCTCAGCTTGGTCGGCGTCCGCGGTGGACTGTTGATCTGGGGTTGCTGATGCATTGCCTGTTTGAACTGTTGTTGTGCTTGTAGTTGCGCCTGAGTTTGGCTCTGTTGCTGATTTTGGCTGGATTGTTGCAGTTGTGTTTGGGTCGACTGTTGCTGCTGCTGCTGCTGCTGCTGTTGTTGTTGAGGGATTCGTATGGCAGTTAGCAGGACGGTTGGCTGAGATGACTTGACGACTTGATCCTGCTGTTTGGTGATTTGATTGCCAGTTGATACTGCTGCCGAGGCAGTCGTGGCCACGATTTGCTGGTTGAAGTTCATGCCCATCTTGGGGTCGGCAGTGCGAGGAGCGATGGTGACCGGTTTTTTGGGTTGTCCAACTCCGAGACCTCCCTGGGTCATGTGGCTTACCTTGCGAGTGAGCGATACGGTTGGCGCTATCCGCGCAGTCTTGCGTTCCACCTTCTTCAGCGAGGTCGCTGGAGTGATGGAGGTGGTCTGCTGTTGCTGAAGCAGGCTTAGGTACTTCTCCAAGCTGGCAGAGTTGTTGGTTTTGATCGGACCGGTTGCCGTCTTGATGATGCTTTTCTGCTGCAGCACCGTGGATGTGGTTGTCATCAGTTCGGTGGTGGTGGTGATTTCCGCTTCCGCTTCGGTCGTCTTCAGCGTCGTGGCTCGTCCCGCTATAGTTTTAATATTTTTCTTAAGATTATTAAATGTGTTGGTGGTTTTCATTTGGGACTTGAAGTAACCTGTTATCTTGTTCGCGTTGGCGAGGTCAGCATTCCCGCTGGCAGTGAAGTTTTTCGTGTTCTTCGTAATGGTGGTCGTCGTTGTACCGGCGGCTGAGATCTGCTGGTGATGGTTGATGTTGCTGGCAGCGACAATTGCCATCTGGGTGAGCTTTTTGGTAGTGGCCGCATTGAGACCCGAACCAACCGCTACCAGACCGGGAGGACCCGGAAGGCCAGTCGTGTTGGTGCCGACCGATTTGTTAACTTTCTCCACACTGGTCGTACGTATTCGTTTGGCACCGTTGGCGATGGTGTTGGTGCTATTGCTTCGAGTATTGCCGCTGGCCTCCGAGTGGGCCGGTTGCAAGCGTTTCAGCTTGTTGATCGGAGTTACCGATACGGAAGCAGTCACGGCAGTGTTCTGTTGCTGCATATTCGATTGTTGTAGTTGTTGCGTTGGAGTATTGACTGCAGGTGGATTGTTGCTGATAGTAGAACTATTGCTAGTGGCTGTGTTGCTGCTATTTGTTTGGACATTATTGCTATTGGTAGCGTTGCTTGTGTTCCATGGCCACTGGTGGGGTTGGTATTGCTGTTTGATCGTTAGATTTGTGGCCTGCGTGTGCGGGGCCATCTTGGCGCCTATGGAAGCCGTTTTGATGGTTACTCTCGGGGACCTGGGAGACGGAAAACTGATCCGACTATTTTCGTTTCTTTCGTTAGTGCTGCTGCTGCTGCTGCTTACAGACAGCGATGTGAACTGCATTGGGTTGCCGGCCTTAACCTAGGGTCGATCCGTAGCTACGGTTCATCTTTCTTCAATCCCGACCCGCTGCTGCGCTAATCCAAGAAGCTGTAACGCTGTAAACGAAACAAAAAGCAATCATTAGTCAGCTGAACATTGATGTTTTTCTTTCTTTCAAAATTTGCCCACCGCAACAACTCCAATTCCCCGCTAGAGACAACCCCGACTGAAATATTGAATGAATGGAGCCACCTGAATCCAATGCCTGAAAATGAGTCAAACAGTCACGCCCTCAAGGTGAGAATACCGAAAAAGGAAAGAAACGCCGAAAAGAAGACAACGACCATGACTGAAAACGAGATCGGGCCGGAAATGCGTAGGATGACTTTTGGGCTACAAAAACACACTTCGATACGTAACGTAAGCCACGCCGAAACGTGGTTGGAATTCGAAGTGGAACTGATACTAGTTTGATATCTAATTCGAGTTCAACAAACGACGAGTAGCTTTAAATTATGAATATCAGAATTTGCCCGGTTTTGGTGGGACCATTCCTATGATAATTTTTTGCCATATTTGATGCGATGTCACACAGTCAGCAGATATCCTAGCGAATATTATGCATTCCTTTTCTGCGGCGCGCAAAACCGGTTCCAGCCCACGTTTTGTTTTTTTTTTTGTTTAGCGAATCCGATCGGCTTAACGGTGGGAATGTGCATTAGAAAAATCTCTGAAATGATGCTTCTTTGGGTAGAGCTCCTAGAAGAACATAAGCAAATTGGCGCGCGAACGTTTCATGTCCCGGCTCCAGGTGTAAGGTTGTAAATTAGTCGAGGGACAGGTCGGTCGTAAATTTTTCTTTGGCTGCTAGCGGTATTTGGAAAGAAAGATCTCACGTCGGGTTGAGCGTTTGAATTTTGATTGAAATAAGAGAGGGGCCGTTTATAAACCATTTGAATAGTTTGTGAGAGATTTTAGACCTCCCTCCACACTGCACAGTCAATAATACATAGATTAAAAAATGCGGTTGGGTGTCCCCTTTATAAATGTCGGCATATGGAAACTAATAAATGATCCATTCAAAAATTGAATAACTCCCAAATGATCCATAAAACCCCGGTGAAAAACCTTAAAAAAGTGTGAATGATCCATACAGAATATCAACATGATACATATTTTACGTAAAATCTAGCATCACAAAGATGAACATGTATCGCTAAATTTCAAGAGAATGAACATTGAAAACGTACGAATTATCCATAAACATTTAGCAAATGTTCCATAAAACGTTCAACAATGCACCTTAAACTAACTAAATCGATCCATAGTAAAGTAAAAAATATAGGTATGATCCATAAACTAGATACATAGTTTTCATGTTGTGGACACTATTTTTTTAAAATTTTGGTCCACAAACCTTGGAAAATTACTCCATTACTGCGTAGCTGCTCAGATTTACTGTCATGTCCGTGTTTTTTTAGTCAGAGGAGCGGAGCAACGGGCATGCGTCTAGGATAAGCTAGGACAGTAAATCTGAGCAGCTACGCAGTAATGGAGCAATTTTCCAAGGTTTATGGATCGTACGTATATTTTTTAGAGCACAAATTTTATTTTCTATGTGTCATTTTCGTCAGTTTATGGTTAATTGTTTTATGGATCATTTGCAATATGCTTATTCCTAGTAGCACGCTTGTCACAAATCGGTTTTGGCAACTTCTATACAATTAATATCAGTCATAAACAAGTTGCTGCAACTTATTGTGACGGAAATGTGCTACTCGGGATGGGTAACTCGTATAATTTCAATACTCATTCTTTAGAAATTGTGCGGTACATTTTTATAATTGTGTTGCTAAATCAATTCAATTCTAAAGGTGCAAACTTATGAATGCTCATGAACCAAGCATCGTAGAAACAACGTTGTGTTTTGAAAATGACATAGAAATTGTAATCTAGAAACAGATAACATGAAAAATGTTTTCCACCAAAATTTTCACAGTGGAGGAAAAATTGCAAGGAAAATGAAATTTTTTTTAATGATTTTTTTCATGCTTGAAACTTCTTATCTTGCACTGGTGGAAATTTCAGGATATTGCAGTCGAAAAAAATGCAACACTTTCTTTTGTGTATACATTTTAATTGCATGGGTAAAAATTGATGAAATTTTGAGTAAAACTAGCTTAGAGTGTAATTGCTTAAGTGCAAAATTTCGTCACAATCTGTCAAGTGGTTATCGAGATGGCTTCCAAGCAAGAAGTGCTTCGACAAAAAATTATGGGAGCAGTCGTGGAAAATCCAGGCCAGTCCCACAGGTGGATCGCGAAACAGTTTGGAATCGACAATTCGACCGTGTCCCGTGCGGTAAAATAGGAGACCCAGACGACCCAGCGGCGAGCTGGCAGCGGAAGAAAAGCGAAGACGACCGACGCCGTGAACGCAAGGACGGAGAGGGATTACTTCGAGCGCAATCCAAACCTTTCGATTAGGGACGTGGCCAAGAAGGTCAATTCTTCCGTCTGGTTCGTCCAGCAGACAATGAAGCGGGCCGGACTTCATGTCTTCAAGGTAAGGAAGGCGCCTAGCTAACCCGATAAACATAATACGGTGGCCAAATCCCCCGCCAGGAAGCTGTACCGCGAGTGGTTGGTGCAGCCGAAATGCATCGTAATGGACCACGAGACATACATTAAAGCGGACGCTAAGCAGATCCCCGGCCTGGAGTTTTTCGTCGGCAAGTCCCGCCTGGATGTTCCGGAGAAGTACTTAGTGTGGCAGGTGATCTGTGGATGCGGCAAATTCAGCAAGCCGTACATAACGACCGGCACCATCAACGGCGAAATATATAAAGAAGAATGCCTCAGGAAGCGCCTGCTGCCCTTCCTCCAGTCCCACGAAGATGACACTCTGTTTTGGCCAGATTTGGCATCGTGCCATTACGCGAAACCGGTGATGGAGTGGTACGAAGCCAACGATGTTGTTTTTGTGCCGCCAAACTCGCCAGAACTTCGCTCAATTGAAAAATTCTGGGCGATTATGAAGGGCAAGCTCCGAAAAACAGGGAAGGTTTTCAAAAACGACAATGATTTGAAGAAAGAGTGAATCAAAGTGTGTAAGGAAGATGGCGCAAGTGTTGCACAGGATTTGATGGGTAGCGTTAAGACCAAGGTGCGGGCATTTAGCCATAGAGGTAACTCTAAGACCAGAAGATCCCGAAATAACGTGCTTAACTTTTTGGCTCAGTTGGCTCTCTTCGGTCCCAAGCTAATCGATTCACCCCTCGAAACATAGGAAAATCCACTAACCCCTCATTTTATCTGTCAAATTTTCATAGCGAATCAAAACAAACATTGCGTAGTACTAGAATTTCGACTAGAATGGGGTACGTTAATCGTTTGCTTGGGACCAATAGGCTAGTCAAGTAGTGAGCCAATTTAAAATCGTTAGTTTCGTATTGATTGTTGATTTAGCTTAGGAGAGGAGGTTGAATAAACCAACTTTGTAAAAAATAGCTAATATGTGTTAATTTATTCCCTGAGAGTTCCAAAAATATCCGACTTAAAATGAGTTTTTGGTAACCATTTTTGACTGTTGCATTTTGCATTTTTTTTTCGAGTAAAGTCTATAAAGTCTCTATCCACAATTCAGCGTTTATCGGTATTTGTACCGATTTTTTTACATAATACCGATATACAGATAAGGTTCCTCAGAATATCCATTTTTGAGATTTTATACCGATTTATACCGATTTTTTTTTAAATAATCAAAATGATTATTAACTACCCGTACTCACATGTCAGACAAAAGTTTTTGAGCCTTGCTTTAAAAATGTCTTTTGCTTGATACCCTTTTCGACTAGTGTTTCCATTTACTCACTGTTTTTTACTGCCTAGGATTCAAGAATCAGCTGACGGCGAGGCTGACGGCTTATCCCGGTCAGTCAGGAATCGGGAAATATTTTTATCTTTGATATTACCAAGAAGGTCCAGCAGAATGATAATAAGTTGCTTTATGACGTTTATTTGATCTTCCCTTGGAAGTACCCTAGCAGCAAACTTGTCATCTGAACAGTTGTGGTTACTTATATGTAACTTATTCCAGTTACAATGAAGTTGCTACAACTTAATGTGATGGTAGTGTACTGCTTTGGTATCTTCTAACTGTTCCCTGTTATTTTCTTCCACCTTATTTTGCGATTCCTCCCGGAAAGTACTTTCGACTTCCCTCAGCGGAAGCTTCTTTTGGCTTCGCTAGCAAGGTTCTTTCATCTTCTCCCGCCAGTTTTTTGTAGCTTCCTCCGGGATATTGTGCTAACTTACACTAGAAGATTCTACCGATTTCCACTGTCTTTCGACTGTCCCGAAAACCTCTGGCTACACCGGAAGAAGCTTCCGACTTTCTTAAGACGTTTCTTCCAAATTATCTCAAGAAGTTTCTTCTTGAAATTGAAATTTTCGCTTACCATAAAAATATAAAATTAATTAAAATTGTTTATTACGATTAATACCGATTTTTTAAAACCATTGATACATAAGTCCGAACATAATCTGGCAACGCTGATCCACATTAATCCGGACACCTTCAAATCACTGTAACTTTTGAAATATTCCACGTAGGAGTGAAAAATTTCGCTGTGGTATAGCTGGGTCATTGATGAAAAATACTATGATTTGTGTTTACATTCCATGTTTAGTGTTCAAGATGGCGATGAATGAAAAACACGTGCGGGAGCGGATTTTGTACGGACGTAATGCAAATACGGGAACACGGTGTGCTCAAATCATTTTCGGAACGTTTGACGGTCGCAAAAACATTGGACGTGCTGATCCTGTCATGGACCGAAAGGTGAAGAGGATATTGAAGGAAAACCCGAATCTCTCTGTTCAAACGGTAGCTCGTAAAATAGGAATGTCACCTGTTTTTGTCCAAAAACCAAAACAGCGTTTAGGGCTGAAGTCGTATAAAGTAAAAACAGTTCCAAATCGCAACGACGAACAGGATTTGACAGCAAAATTACGGGCTCGACGTTTGTACTGGGAATATTGAACGAAGTTTTCATGCGTTCATTCCAGGACAAAGAAGGCATCGAAGTTTTCCAAAAAATACCTTATTTGGTAAG